AATCATACTTAAGGTAGTAAAAAGCCCATAAGCAATTTGACATATGCTTTACAGCTTAATTATTTTGTTTCTTATACCTCAGTATTCAAATCTGAACTCTCTTGGTTCTGACTGGTCTACTGACTTTGTGTGTCTCCTCTTCCTGGAAGGCACTCTCCAGCACAATCAGGATGGATTTGTGGACTTTATCTTTAAAATCTTGGCCCATGAACACATACAGCAGTGGATTCAAGCAGCTGTTGAGAAAGGCCAGGCTGGTGGCTATTGGTAACCCAATTATGGTGATATCATCTAATATCTCACTTGAATATTCTGGCATGTGATTTGCCATCTCAATTAGACCCATGATGTGAAAGGGAGCCCAGCACAGAAAGAAATTGATGATAATGGCAGCGATGATCTTAAAGGGGCGACTTGACTGATTGGCCAGTGTGTGGTTTCTTCTGAGACGATGGATTATAACAGCATAACAAGAGACAATGACAGTAAAGGGCACAACAAATCCCAGTAGGAAACGCGTGATAATCATGGCCTGATGAGTCTCATGATATGTGTCCTCGTCACCAGAAAGAGCATAGTTGTTGAAGCAGTTGATGATATCCTTATTGTGGTACGATGGTCCGACGTCCCTGAAGATGAAGTATGGAGCACTGAGAATCAAAGCCACCACCCAAACACACAGACTCACATAGGATGCTTTGCGTACATTTCGGTGGTTCTGAGCCCAGACGGGCCACACCACAGACGCACATCTATCCACACTGATTACCACCAGAATGTAGACACTGGCAAACATGTTCAGAAAGCTGATGGTGGTGTTCAGCTTGCACATGAAGTTGCCAAAAGGCCAGTGGAAATCTGAAGCTGTGTAAGTCACACTCAGGGGCAAAAATGCAGTGAAGAGGAAGTCAGCCACAGCAAGGTTGAGGAACCAAACTGTGTTAACAGTTTTCTTTATCTTGAATCCGGTCACCCAGATAACCACTCCATTCCCGAGCACACCGAGGACAAAAGCCAGGGAGTACACAACGATAGACATGGTGTTCAGAGAATGTCTCAACT